CACTTCGCTAGAGAGCGTCCGGGCTTTGGGTCCCCTCGGGCTTGTGGCTTGGTGAGCAGCCAGCTGGGTCTTGTGGGTGCTCAAAGCCGCTTGGTCCTGCAGCGCCTTGGAGACGAACCACAAATGTCAGTGGGATCAGGAGCTCTCCTGGGCACGGGCCACTGCTTCAGAAGCAGCCACAAAGGCTCCTCATCTCGCCGGCACGTGGTGTTAGTCTCTGAGATGCTGCGGGATCTTACACTGGTTTTAAATGTGTTCCCTTAGGATACAGCTACGCTCCAGGGCTAGTTCAGGATACTGGAGATATCCCGAAATAGCCACCCTGCAGCTACGCAAGTTGCCCGTTATTTCACAATATTTTTCGAAATAACAGGCGCGCTGTGTCGGCATACCGGTGACCCTCGTTCCCGGAGAGTTAAGGGATGTCTTGAAATAGCGCGTTATTTGAAATTTGGCTGCTCTATTTCGAAATAGAGTCGAGATAAGATACGCAACTTGCATAGCACAAATTGCGTATCTTATTTCAAGCGGTGTCCCCCTTAGAGACTAACACGGTTCCACCGATGCCAGCGGCCTTCAGAGGGCACTGCTAGTCTGTCGCCATTTCGGTTTGTCCGTGTGGGGTGCATTTTGGGGGCCAGGCAGGAGTTCCCAGGCCGTCGGCTCTGGATTCTCCCTGCTACGCTGGCCCTTGTCTGGGTGACGTAGCCTTAGAAAACGTTCTGGTTTCGGTTCAGTTTTCCCTTGGGCTGGACCCAGACAGAAGCCCTGAATCCGAATCCTCTCCAACTCTGGTCCAGCCGCATGCTGCCGGGCGCAGGCCTCTCAGTGATACCCAGGTGAAGGCTGGTGGGCAGGGGGTGTTTTGATTTGGGTGCGTCTCTTAGTGACCTGTGCGCCCAATACACGCTAGCCTTGGCAAGCTGCCTCCCACCCCCGCCAGCGAACCGGCCCCCAAATACCAGTGGATTGTGGTTTGCTCAGAGCGGGTCAGGTGAGCTGATAAACAAGCTGCCATTTGCTAGACTCCCCGATCGCCACAGCTCGGACCCTGAGCACCGCAGATCCACGGCACCTGGGCCACACTCAGAAGGGCTGAGCACCGGGATCCAGGGAGCTGCATCTCCACTGGCGAGCCGCCAGCGAACCGGCCCCCAAATACCAGTGGATTGTGGTTTGCTCAGAGCGGGTCAGGTGAGCTGATAAACAAGCTGCCATTTGCTAGACTCCCCGATCGCCACAGCTCGGACCCTGAGCACCGCAGATCCACGGCACCTGGGCCACACTCAGAAGGGCTGAGCACCGGGATCCAGGGAGCTGCATCTCCACTGGCGAGAAGCTTTGGAAAAATCCTTGTGCAGAGTTTTGGCCAGGGAAGCGTTTGCCCAGGAGTTCCCTGGTGAGCTGGCTCTCTGGGGCGCTGTTCCCGGCCGTGCTCTGCCGCCCCGCCCCGGGCACTGCACTCACAGTTCGTGTAGACGGGCTGCCGAAAGGGCTTCCCCTTGGAGAACACCAGCGCCACCAGGAGGCAGTTCATGGTGCTGAGGAGCCAGACCGTGGTGTTTTCATAGCTCTTTTTGCCGCGTTCCCCGTCCCGTTGGCGCCGAGGGCAGGTGCCAAGGAAGAATTCTCCACTTGGCTGTTATTCCTGGGATGACAGGCACTGTGAAAGAGGAGCCCTGCGGTCAGTAATGCAGCCAGCCCAGATGTACCAGCCTCCAGCTGGGCCTCCCAGGCCGCACGATCCCAGTGAAGTCCAGCAGCGCTGCGAGGCGGGACGCTGGGCTATCCCTGCTCTGCGGAGAAGGAAACAGCATCCTGGAGAGGGGAGCTGACTTGGCCAACGGTGAGGCAGTGGCAGAGACGGCAGTAGGTCCCCAGCCTCCGGACACCCCTTTGCCATCAGTTGTATTGGTACAAGCAGGAGCCTTTGCAGCAGAGAGCTACCACCTCTGGGCCTCTTCCCTTGGCTATTCCACTCCGTAGCCAGGGGACCTGGAGCTCCCGGGCTGCGCGGAACACACGAGGGACAATGACTTGTTCAAGGCAAACTCCAGCTGGTCGGCCCCAGCCTCCGCCCAGGGCTGCCAATGCAGAGCCACGCTGATGGCGCGGGAGCCCGGCCCTCCTGGCCCCGGTGCTCTGGGAGCTCGCTCTCTGGCCCTGCCATGCGGCCAGCCTGCTGGGGTGGGGCTCCATGGCCTTGGGTTGTAAATGTCACTCTGACCGCGGACCTTGTTGGGTGGGTTTGCCGAACTTCACTCAAACTTCCACTAGGGCAAGTAGATTTACACCCCACCCCCTCCACAGAAGCTATCTGGCATGGTATCACTGCTGCCCCGTTCCCACCCTCCCCAGCGGCTGCCTGCCCACCAGCCCCGCTGGTCTGGGGCCCAAGCCCGGCCTTACCTGTGGATGTTGTGCTGCGCGTACCAGGGCTGCTGCTGGACCATCACAAAGCCAAAGACCTGCATGGCCAGGCTGAACAGGATGTTCAGCACCACGGACAGCAGCAGTGGGGGCGAGATCAGCTGGCTGGGAGGCCTGTAGGGGACCAGCTTTGGGTAGGCCCCATTCAAACTCACTGATGAAAGAAGAATGGGTTTCACAGGCCAGCCAAGGGGCCAGGCGCTAGACCTGAATCGTGGGCCACTTGGGCTAATGAGCAGCCTCTACTGCCTGCCAGTTCCCCAGCATCCCTTCACCTCTCTGAAAGGCCTGCTGGGTGCATGCTGGGGCAGCGCCCGCCTGCAGGGCTTACGCCTGCTTCGCACGAGCATCGAGGCGAGGAAAAGCGCCACGCGGGGCTACTGTCACTGGCTCCAAGGGCCCAGGCTGCCACTCTCAGGACTGGCGTCATCGCGGTCTCCCCAGCTCTCTGCCCCCCACCATGCACACAGCCCGTCACACCCCCACACCGGGCTCCTGCCACAGCACCCGGGTCACCGCTCTCCTGGGACCCAGACCCCCCGGGACTGACTCCAACGTGTCTGTCTCTGCTCCCTTCCCCCTCGTCGAGCACTGCTTTCCCCTGCCCCCCCATGCCCGCTTTCTCCTCCGCTGCGCGTCCCATCCGGCACATCCTCACGGCATGTCGCCACCTCGGCTTTCCACAGCATGTTCAGCCATGGAGGAAAGCCCTTTCTAGAGCAGCCCAGCCTCCTTTCTACAGCAGCCCGGCCTCCTTTCTAGAACGGTCCGGCCTCCTTTCTAGAGCGGCCCAGCCTCCTTTCTAGAACAGTCCGGCCTCCTTTCTAGAGCGGTCTGGCCTCCTTTCTAGAGTGGTCTGGCCTCCTTTCTAGAACGGCCCGCCTCCTTTTTAGAACAGTCCGGCCTCCTTTCTAGAGCGGTCTGGCCTCCTTTCTAGAGTGGTCTGGCCTCCTTTCTAGAGCGGTCTGGCCTCCTTTCTAGAATGGTCCGGCCTCCTTTCTAGAGCTGCCTTCTCCGTGTAACTCCCTCTCAGTCTTCTCTTTTCCAAACTAAACAAGCCCAGTTCTTTCAGCCCTCCCTCATCGTTCCATGTTCTCTAGATCTTTCATCATGTGTGTTGCCCTGCACTTGCTGCAAAGTCTCTGTCTTTCTCGGTGCGCAGGATTGTGCATGCCTGGCAGGTGGGGACTGGCTACGAGCTGTTCTCCCCCTACACAGGCGATAGCGACGGAGCTTACTTGTTATGCCAATGACAGTGGTAATAGCCAGATCTTGGAATAAAAACTGGTAATTCCCAAAGGAGTTTAGTTGCTGAAAGGAAAGATCAAGAAACCACACGTCAGACATTTGCTGGGGGCTCGCGTGTTTCATCTTCAGCCCCCTCCCCCGGTCAGTGTTTCATGAGGCTAGTGCTCTGCAGTCTGCCTAGAGAGCCTGGGCAGGATGCGTCCCGCACGAGGCCCAGCCCTCGCACGAGAGGCGCTGTCACGGAGCTTGCATGAAATGCAGCCGGTTGGTGCATGGTGAATGATCCTTCCCGCTCAGTCAAAAATGCCACCGGCCTGAGCTGCCGCGCAGCCCCCTCCTCACCCCGGGGAAGGCTCCAGCCCAGGGCGGTTCAGGGCGCTCTGGCATTTGTAGCCAACGCCCTTTGGAACGGCTGAAAAGTGCCTCGTGTTCACCTGCCAACGCACTTCTCGCCTCCCCGGCAGGGCCCTTCCGCAGGCCCTTAGCCTCCCTTCTCAGCCTCCCTCACTGCTGCCACGTGCTGGCCTGCCACGGCTTGCCTTGCGCGTGGGCGTCTGCCTGGCCCTTCCCCCCTAAGTCACTGGCAAAAGTCCCTCCATTTCACATGGGGAAACTGAGGCAGGCCCAGCCACTTGCCCTAGGTCACACAGGGAGTCTGAGGTTCAGTGGGGAGAAGGCAGCTCTCCTGGGTGGGCCTCGGCTGTGACGCCCACCTCCCCGCGACGGGAGCAGCATCCCGCCTTGGCTCTGGCTGGTCCCAGCGCCGTACCCAGTAAAGCAGGAGAACCCCGAGGTACTGGATGGTGCTGTACAGCGCCATGTACTTAAACACGCAGAAGGAGGTGACGAGGGCCGCGCGCCCCTGCCTGCGGAAGGGAGAGAGAAGGTGACGGTTAGAGGGCGGAGGGCGAGAGCGACGGGCTGCTCGGTCCCCGAGGCACAAAGCACACGGGCGTCGTTTTGCACGTGAATCCCTTGGCGGAAACGTGGTGGTGCCACCAAGCCGGGCTCGCACCAGCCACCCCAGGGCCATTCCTCTCAGGCAGCGGCATGGACAGTGCCCATGCAAAGTGCCCGGCGGGTTGCTAGGAGCTCTCAGCCTGCCAGCACCACGCCGGGGCGCTCCGCCCCAGCCCCCAGACCAAGGGCAGAAGGCAGCTGTCCCCGCTGGGGGCAATCCGACGAGAAAGCCAGTCACCGGCGGATTTCGAGGGCAAACGGAACAGCATGGATTCAGAATACTCTGCCTTCCTTTCAGAGCAGTGTCCTGGGAGGCAGCAAGCCTAGTGGTTAGAGCAGTACTCTAGCACTCCTGGGTTCTTTTCCCAGCTGTCCTACTGGCTGGCTGGGCGGTGAGGACACAAGTCCCATCTGGTGAAGCTGTGGGGCGTGTTCTCAGGAAGGGCGCTAGGCGGGGCTCTGCAGGAAAGCAGCGAGGGAGGGAGTGTTACGGGTTCCTTGCTCGGTATGGGAAGGAGGGGGCTTGTTCTGTGACTCGGGACCTTTGTTCCATGACGCACACGGCCTTGGGCAGCTCACTTGGGTCCCAGTCCTGCTGCAGGCCAGTCAGTGAAATGGGGCGATGCTACGTCCCTGCCCCGCGGGGCGTTGGGAGGCCAGTCAGCGCTCTGGGGTTCGCCCGCGGCAGGGCCCTGGGTGGAGGGCACTGGAACGGTGCCCCCGGCGAGCACCCTGGACACGGGTCCCCTTCTATAGCTTCTTTCCTGCCATCCCCCTGCCACAG